CCCCAAAACCCCAAAACCCCAAAACCCCAAAACCCCACAATCATAATTTAAGGTTCTGTCTCAAATATCATATAGATTACTTAATGAGAAGATATATATATTGCTGTATTTCATTAATGATTAGTTAATTAGTGGTAAATACAGAATCAAACGAATCGTACTTTCAAATCAATCAAAATATTTACGGGTGTGTTATTTTAGGTGAGTGGAGGTTTTATTTACTACTCATGAAAATGCAAATCTATCTTTGTTCAAGAATTTGTTTTCATTCATACCTAATGTTAGAGCTGCTATTATTGCTGCTACTACTATACATCAGCTATTTGACTAATATTGCTGATAATAGCTCCATTAGAATTTAAGTTTTGTTACTTGTTGAAAAGATTCTATTCTTCAACCTTCAAAGCCTGCTGCTATTGCTAATCAACTGCATTCTATTCAATCTTCAACTATTATTACACAAGTTAGGCTTGCTGCTATTATTACTACTGATTTTGTTTAAGCTAAGCATTTTATGCTGGGATCTATTAAATATTGGGTTAAGTGTATTGTTATTGCATAAGGCTTGATTAAAGAGTTCCATTTTACAGATAGAAGCCTGATTAGTTTTAAAGTGTATCTTAGGCTGTCTACATTTAATGAACTTGCTGGAGGTGTGGTTGGTTTCCTAATTTTTAATCGTCTTTCATCAATTACTGATTTTAAATGCTCGTCATCTATCCTTGTAAAGTCTATTGCTATGGCTGCTTGTTAAATTATCCTAAAGACTCTTATGTCAATGCTTAAATGGCATTTTGCTTCTATTGTTACTATTGCAATTCATTGTTAGCTTTGATTTAAGCATTCTATTGTTGAATCTACTACTCTTGCTAGTTTAATTAATGCTACTACAATAGGTGTGCAGCATTAATTGCAGAAATTTATCCGTTTTATTGTAGTTGATGCTATTACAGTAGTATCTGTGATTGGATAAGTTATTATTGCTACTATTAATGGTTAATTTAATGCTGATTGAGCTAGTTCATGATTGCTTATGGATCTTATGGTGATTAAAGATCATGTACTTGCTATTGCTGCATTTAGTCCTAGAAAAACATTTGTTAGTTGCCATAGAGACTGATTTGGAACTGATTATTGGGATCTAACTGTGTGAAAACTATAGGAGTCTGCTGTGCAAAAAGTTGCTGAATCTGATCCTCGTAAGAATTGTAAATTATAGGGGCTATGCCTTGCCCACCAGCTGCATAAAATGGTAATTACCCTGGAATTGCGTATTAGATCGGCATTGGTTAATAATAGGGCATCTAGCCTCCATATGGTTGCATGCTAAAACCAAAGGGTTAGGGGTAACCTCCCATTATTTGCTGTTGAATTTATGGAGCCATTCCAAGATGGTTACTTTGAGGTCTTATTATAGCTGAGGGAATTGCAGTTTTTTAAGCAGATTGTTGCACTTACTAGAACCCTACTTTCTATTACTAAGCAGGCGATGCTGCTATCCTCTAGGCATCTTTAGGCTAACTTGAGTTCTCATGGCTGGCAACTTATGAACCTTAATTGATAAGGTTTTTAATGTGTTAGCTCGTAGGATTTTGTTAGTTTATCTGTGATTGTGTAAACTTTATCTAATCTGAGAGTTGGAGAAACTTTTAAATCTAAATTTGCTTATCATTTGCTTAAATAGAAGTTTGAAAACCCTTCAAAGCACTGCTCTAAATCATGTTTGATTCTTGATCAGATTCTTTCTTCTTCTCAGGATACTCTTCTTTTATTTCTGAGAGCAATTATTATTACTACTATTGTTAGACAGTAGTTTTAAATATTTAATTTTGATTTTCTGAAGTATTATGATTAAATTGTTCAATCTAATTTGCTAGTTTTTTCTCTTTCTTATTGCCTTATTTTGATGAATCATTTTTAAACTTTGAAGCTGCTATGCCCTCCTTCTTTTCAAGTTAGTTAACAGAAACAGGAGGGGCATTTCTCTTTGATCCTAAAGTACTATCGTTTACATCATCGTCATCATCGTACTCAATCATTTCATTAGGCATATTTTTCAAATTTGAGATGTCTAATCGATCCAAAAACTATTCAAAAACTTCTCCCTTGCGCTATAGCTTCACAAAGAACTTCTAAGCGTGTGATCTCGCTTGGGTACTTGATCTTGTCTATACATGCTTTTACACATCTCTCCAGTTTTTACCGTACAGCTTCAAAGCCTCAAGAAATCTGATGTGCTCCTGCTTGTTCCATCTACCTTGATTAGTGGAAACTTGACCGGGACTTTGCTGCTAACTGCTAAGAAAATCATTCCTCTTTCTAAGTTCATGCTAAGTATTGAGTGAGGAGTTACTTTCGTTTGAAATGTTAAATTGAGGTTGGGATATCAAACTAAAAAAGCCTTATTTTTAGTTACATTGATCTAAATTTGTCGGAATCTTACCAAATGGGGGACACGTTTATGATTGCCCTTGATTCTGTGCATTCATGTTTCCATTTTAGGATCCGACCTAACTTGCCTGCAAAATCTGTGAAAAAATTGATGGTTTATTAGGTGCGGTGAATGCAGACTGGTGGCTAATGGGAAGAGCGTTATCATGTGTTTTAAGTTCTTCCTTAGTTCTGTTTAGCTGGTTGCTTTATAGATTGTTAAGCGACTACTTCGAAGAATATTAATCTTCACCATTCATTTCTGTCATCTTATGTGATGGATTGAAACCATAATGGATTTGCTTAACATCACTTGAGACTATCTTATTATTGTTTTAGATTTGTTAGAAGGTTGTCATCTGCGAATCAATCTACTTTAGCAGAGAGTTTTAATTGGCTAAGTGTATCAGTTGTTCATTTTGCGGTAGACTTTGCATGTTACTCTCTTTGTTTAGACCTTCAAACTTTCTATTCTCACTCTAGGCAACCTAGGAATTAGATGTAAGATTCGCTTGACTGTCAAAATCATTGTTTCCTTATGAGTGCTCATTGCCAGAAGAGTTATGAGTCTCTGTGGGGGACCTTAAAGAATCTTTTAGTGTACGATTGCTATTCTAATTCATAATTATTAATATCATTGGATCTTACTGCTATATATTTAATAGCAGATCTAATTCCTTAGATACGATCCCTATATTTATATTAAATAATTTACAAGTATGAATCCAATCTTCTTTTTTATTCAATCCACGCAAATTGTATCTCAAGGGGTTTTGGGGTTTTGGGGTTTTGGGGTTTTGGGG